GCGGCTAAATGGTTAGCACTTCCACCTGGCAGTACAGTACTCAGGTCGTTGGTTCGAGTCCAAACCACAACACCTGCCTGGTGAAATGGGCAGCACAGTGGCTAGATGGTTAGCACTTCCGCCTGGCAGTACTAGGGTTGCTGGTTCGAATCCCAACCACTGCACCACCTGCGTGGTGAAATGGGCAGCACAGTGGCTACGTTGTTAGCACTTCCGCCTGGCAGTACTCGGTCGTTGGTTCGAATCCCAACCACAACACCTGCCTGGTGAAATGGGCAGCACAGTGCCTAGATGGTTAGCACTTCCGCCTGGCAGTACTAGGGTTGCTGGTTCGAATCACAACCATGGCACCACCTGCCTGGAGTTTGCATGTTCTCCCTGTGCCTGCGTGGTTTTCCTCTCTGGTTTCATCCCACACTCCAAAGATATGCTGGTAGCTAAAATTGTCCCTAGTATGTGTATATATGAATGTGAGTTAGGACCTTAGATTGTACGCTCCTCGGGGGCGGGGGACTGATGTGAATGTACAATATATATGTAAAACGCTGCGTAAATTGATGACGCGATATAAGTACCTGAAATAAATGGTGACATAGGAGGGACCTCCAGCACATTGACAGCCTCAGCTCTGTTCCTGTGTGCTGTGAGGAGGGGGGGGTCTCTTCCTTCCAATCAGCTCTCGGAGAGCTCTCCTCACTGAGCTCTACAGAGTGTAATTTCATCTCTCCGTCCCCTTTTTTTCTGAACTCTGACAAACTTTATAAATTCGTACTTTGAACGGATGTAGAGAAGAGAACATAGCAGATAAACAGGTGCAACTTATATAGGAGGATTTCTGTGTATTACCTGTGGCCTGTCGCATCACTGGGTGGGTATATGGAAGGACTTACAACCACTTTAATATTTCACCATTGTCTATCTGTATTATGGTATGTCCCAGTGTTAGACAATGTTAAGGCTGGGATTTCACATCTGCGGGCTTGTGGAGGAAGTGCACGCTGCAGTAACCCATAGCAACCACAAATATTTGCTGATCTAGCTGCAGTAACCCAAAGCAACCACAAATCTTTTGCTGATCTAGCTGCAGTAACCATAGCAAACAAATCTTTGCTGATCTAGCTGCAGTAACCCATAGCAACCACAAATCTTTGCTAATCTAGCTGCAGTAACCCATAGCAACCTCAAATTGTTGCTGATTAGCTGCAGTAACCCATAGCAACCATAAATCTTTGCTGATCTAGCTGCAGTAACCCATAGCAACCACATACATCTTTGCTGATCTAGCTGCAGTAAACCTACCTATAGCAACCATAAATCTTCGCTGATCTAGCTGCAGTAACCCATAGCAACCATAAATCTTTCTGATCTAATCTAGCTGCAGTAACCTATAGCAACCATAAATCTTTTCTGATCTAGCTGCAGTAACCCATAGCAACCACAAATCTTTGCTGATTTAGCTGCAGTAACCCATAGCAACCATAAATCTTTGCTGATATAATTTCAGGAAGATGGTTGTTATAGAAGACTGCACATCATCTTTGCTCATGAGCAAGAGATGGTGATAATGATTTGTAGATGGCATCTGTAATATAGGTGCAAGGAATTGTGGGAAGAAGGGCCCTGATCTGTGTGATGATGTTACAGTCCCTAAAAAAATGTACATGGAGAATCCGAAGTTTTCCGGGTTATATTTAGTGATTACCAAGTTGAAGAACTGTGCGAGATCATCAGAGCAGCCAATCAGATAATTCTGTAGTTCTACCCCAGGAGAAGACCCAGACTCCCACGGGGCGGATCAGGAGCTCGTGTTGGCACCGAACACAGAGAAAATGCCAACCATCAATCAATTTATAGCTCGTGTGAGAGGAACCATTCAGTACCAAGCCTGCCACAGAGTATATTTAAAGCTTTGGATATGTCATTTACCTGCCCTTCCTTTTCTGAATTGACAGAGTGAGTGATCGGTACTGATCACTCCTGTGTTCATTCATAAAATGTGTTTACTATTCTTCAGTTTGTGAATGAAGAGGAAGCTCTGTACAGAGATATTTCTGTCCATTCATTCTGTGCTGCAGAGATGGAGATTGAAGGCTGTGTCCTCATTCTCCTTTCTCTCTTTCAAAAGTGAAACATCAAAGGTCTGTTTAGACCCCTGGTATCTCCCCATAGCCCTCCCAATGGGAAATTAAAAAATTGTAAAAAATCAACAAATGTAAAAACTACTGACCCCCGTCATCTGCCTCGCTGACCCCCGTCATCTGCCTCGCTGACCCCCGTCATCTGCCTCGCTGACCCCCGTCATCGCTGACCCCCGTCATCTGCCCCGCTGACCCCCGTCATCTGCCCCGCTGACCCCCGTCATCTGCCCCGCTGACCCCCGTCATCTGCCCCGCTGACCCCCGTCATCTGCCCCGCTGACATCTGCCCCGCTGAGCCCCGTCATCTGCCCCGCTGAGCCCCGTCATCTGCCCCGCTGAGCCCCGTCATCTGCCCCGCTGACCCCCTCCACTGCCCCGCTGACCCCCTCCACGACCCTACTGACCACCTCCACGGCCCTACTGATCACCTCCACTACTCTGCTGATTGATGCCAATAACAGTCTTACTGTCACCAGTGGCGGAATTACCAGGGTCGCAAAGGTCGCCCTTGTGATTGGGCTCTGGTGTTCTGCCACTGTTGGGGGATCCAAGACGGCAGGAAGCAGGCCCGCTGCAGGACATGTAAAAGGTTCCTGTTGTGGGACTGTAATAAAGGGCCTCGCAATGGGAGTGAAGGACACTTTTTTTTTCTTGCGCTAGGGCCCTGAAGGTTCTAGTTACGCCTCTGACATCCCCCTCATAGATCGTTGTCACTGACTTAGGTGTCCCCATTGGAAAATTTTCCCAGGACACAGAGAAGGTGAAGCTCCCTTGTGAGTGACAACAATTCTAACCTATAGGATAAGGAATAGAAGTCCCTCTCCATGTATAAATGTTTAGAGAAATATTTGTAAAAAGCAATTCAAGACGCTTAGAAGAGGAAGTCCTGGATAGAAGTATATATTGCTCAGTAATCTAGTGCATCCTGAGCTTTCATATAGAATACCTGTCTAAAGCAAGCATAGAGTCTCTGTCTGATTTTTTAAAATTTTAAATCGCTAACATGTTTGGGGGACTGTGGAAGCCCTCCTTCTTCAGGGATGTAAACATATACAACCATGGATATAATCGGTTTCTTATCATTACAATAAAATCTACTACTATGTACCATGGATGTGTTTTTTTATAATATTCTGTTTAGATAAGATATTGATGGTTTTATAGCCCTGAAGAAGGGATCTCCCAACTCCTGAAAAGTGTCGGCTTTTCTTCAGTGATATTAAATAAAATATTCTGGGGTTTATTGCTTCTATGCCTTCTCTACACAGAAGTTCTGGGAAAAATAGAGCTACCAGTTGTCTCCAGTACACCTTTTTTAAATACACATTCATGACTCGACTACTGCAACTCCCTCCTCACTGGCCTGCCTCTCCGCTGGCTATCCCCGCTTCAGTCCATCCTGAATACGGCTGCCAGACTCATTCACCTTTCCAACCGCTCCATCTCCGCCACCCCCCCCCTCTGCCAATCCCTCCACTGGCTCCACCCCCCTCTGCCAATCCCTCCACTGGCTCCACCCCCCTCTGCCAATCCACCCCCCCCCCTGCCAATCCCTCCACTGGCTTCCGATTGCACAACGGATCAAATTCAAAATCCTAACACTGACGTACAAAGCCGTCCACCATACTGCCCTGAACTACATCACTGACCTAATATCCAAGTACCACCCAACACGCACACTCCGCTCCTCACAAGACCTCCTTCTCTCTAGTTCCCTAGTCTCCTCCTCCCATGCCCGCCTCCAGGACTTCTCCAGGGTGTCACCCATCCTCTGGAACTCCCTGCCCCAACCCATCAGATTATCACCTACTCTCCTCTCCTTTAGGCGCACCCTGAAAACCCATCCTCTTCAGGGGAAGCCTACCCCACCCCCTGCTAACCTGCCGACCTCCTCCACTCTTCCTACCACTCCATCCCCCACAGCTATCTCCTCCTGTACCACCCCTCCTTCCTAGATTGTAAGCTCCAAGGAGCAGGGCCCTCGATCCCCTCATGTTTTGCATTGTATTGGTATTGTTCTGTCACATGTTCTGTCCCCCTTTGTAATGTACAGCGCTGAGCGAACCATTGGCGCTTTATAAATACTGTATAATAATAATAATAATTATTCCAGTGCTCCTCACCACCTGAAGAATTATTGAGATACCCCGACAGAAGTTCTGACCTCTCACTGATATATCCAAGACTAAACAGTTTTGGTTTTTAAATACTTTTTGTTTTGAAGCGAATTATGTTCCTCAATGGTAGATCTGTAACAAAGGCCTCGTGTATGGCCACCTTACCTTCTGTAGCTCCCTACATACCTCAAATCCGAGTGACCTCTGCTATGAAAATGGGAACTTTAGATTCTAAAGATTGTTTGGTCCCGTCCTGTCCTTTACTCCACACCTTTTTATTGGTGAATGAATCTCTACATCATAACGATTTACCAATAGTAAGTCACTGGCGATGGGAAGGGGCGGAGTCAAGAGAAGCTTCTGCAAGATCTTCTGGGATTTTAGGGCTCCTGGAAAGTCCTATAGGCTGTGTTCCTATATTCTCGGGCCCCTCTGATGTGCACCTTCTTGCTAGCTACATGCTGATTAGGTTGCAGGCTTTTTCCACAAACTTTCTGTCCAGTTGCCCTGACCAACACCCACCCAAAACCAGATCTGTTCCATCTAGAATTGCTAGGAGGCAAAATCGAAGAGAGACTTTCTGTTCATCGCAAACCATTTGATCTCATTATTAGAGGGTGTGATATAGTGATAGATCTATGATGTTCCTCTGGGTTCTGCTCCTAGTAGAACCCTATCTGGGTCAGGTCTGCCGACAGATATCGTTAGACAGATTCAACGTTCTGCTCAGTAATACAGTGTTGTGTGTTTCCAGGCTCATGAGCGCTCCGAGAGCTCCGAAGTGGCCTTCGTCACCCAACTTGTCAAGAAATTGATGATTGTCATCGCCCGTCCTGCTCGCCTCCTGGAGTGTCTGGTAAGAACGGCTTGTCTCTGGATTTTTCTTTCCCAGGTATTTGAGAAATGATTCTGGGGACCAGGAGATCTATCAGATATTGTAATGACACTCTTTGATTTAATTCCAAGTTTGCACTGACATGTGGGTGTTGTGTGTCATCGGGGGATATGGGGTTCTGCATTCTGATGGTTCGTCATGTGATCGGTATGAAGTTATTGCTGATTCTGTTTTTTCTGTGTCCTTGGCCGTCAGAGTCATTGCCGAGCGTTGTCAGCCGTGCCCTTCACAAGACATCCCGGGCATTATTATTAATACATCATAGAGAGGGGTGTTGAATCCTGGAGGAAGTGACCTCTGACCTGCCTGACATGTGGAGTGCTGAGAGAGCTGTCAGCTGGGCAATTCTTTAATATCCAAATTCCCCGGGTGGCTTCACAGGCCAATTTACCTTCTAGATACATCTATGTCTGAGGAACGCCGGCATCTGTCAGCCTTCTGTTTGGCTGGTTTCTGTGTGGAGCTCTTATGTTTTCTATCCTGAATTATTGAACATTAGGAGGATGTTGTAGAGGTCACCTTATCCTGGAGATCCATCTCACGGTTTATAAACATTCCCCTGGATGTCCCCCCCCCCCCCCCCCCCCCATTATATGAACCTTCCCCTGGATGTTCCCCCCATTATATGAACCTTCCCCTGGATGTCGTCCCCCCCCCCCCCCCCCCCATTATATGAAACTTCCCCCCCGACTTCCCCCATTATATGAACCTTCCCCCCCGGACCTCCCCCATTATATGAACCTTCCCCCCCGGACCTCCCCCATTATATGAACCTTCCCCCCCGGACCTCCCCCATTATATGAACCTTCCCCCCCGGACCTCCCCCATTATATGAACCTTCCCCCCCGGACCTCCCCCATTATATGAACCTTCCCCCCCGGACTTCCCCCATTATATGAACCTTCCCCCCGGACTCCCCCATTATATGAACCTTCCCCCCGGACCTCCCCCATTATATGAAACTTCCCCCCGGACCTCCCCCATTATATGAACCTTCCCCCCCGGACTTCCCCCCATTATATGAACCTTCCCCCCCATTATATGACCTTCCCCCATTATATGAACCTTCCCCCATTAACTACCTTCCCCCCATTATATGAACCTTCCCCCCCGGACTTCCCCCATTATATGAATCTTCCCCCCGGACCTCCCCCCATTATGTGAGTCTTCCTCCAGGACATTATCAGGGGTAAGGGATAATATAGGGGATAGGAGGGACGTCCGGGGACATTATCGGGGGTAAGGGCTAATATAAGGGAGATGGGAGGGGAGTCTTGGGACATTATCGGGAGTAAGGGGGATGGAAGGGGAGTCCGGGGACATTATTGAGGGTAAGGGGGATAGGAGGGAGTCCGGGGACATTATTGATGTAAGGGGGATGGGAGGGGAGTCCGGGGATATATAGGAGGATTAAGGGGGATGGGAGGGGAGTCCGGGGACATTATCAGGGGGTAAGGGGGATAGGAGGGGAGTCCGGGGACATTATCGGGGATAGTGGAGGGGACATTATCGGGGGGTAAGGGGGATAGGAAGGGAGTCCGGGGACATTATTTGGGTGTAAGGGGGATGGGGAGGGGAGTCTGGGGATGTTATTTGGGGGGGGATGGGAGGGGAGTCTGGGGACGTTATTTGGGTGTAAGGGGGATGGGAGGGGAGTCCGGGATGTTATTATGGGGGTAAGGGGGATGGGAGGGGAGTCTGGGGACATTATTTGGGGGGATGGGAGGGGAGTCTGGGGACATTATCGGGGGTAAGGGGGATGGGAGGGGAGTCTGGGGACATTATTGAGGGTAAGGGGGATAGGAGGGGAGTCCGGGGACATTATTTGGGGGTAAGGGGGATTGGAGGGGAGTCTGGGGACATTATCGGGGGTAAGGGGGATGGGAGGGGAGTCTGGGGACATTATCGGGGGTAAGGGGGATGGGAGGGGAGTCCGGGACATTATCGGGGGTAAGGGGGATGGGAGGGGAGTCTGGGGACATTATCGGGGGTAAGGGAGATGGGAGGGGAGTCTGGGGACATTATCGGGGGTAAGGGGGATGGGAGGGGAGTCTGGGGACATTATCGGGGTAAGGGGGATGGGAGGGGAGTCCGGGGGGGGTACATGGGAGGGGAGTCTGGGGACATTATCGGGGGTAAGGGGGATGGGAGGGGAGTCACATAAAGATCCTATAAAGTTTGAGTCCAGGTAGTGGGTTTAAGTGCATAGTCTCTCCTCACACCCCTCTCAGTCTGTGACATATTGTGCAGATATTTTCCTTGTTGGCTCCTCTTCTTCGGGTTTCCTGTTCTGTAGAAGTGCGGAGAGTCTCGGGAAGCCTCTGTCCCTGGCTGTCCTCTGGAGCCGGGCATTGTTCTTGCACACATGGCTCCTGTATGATAGGAGCGTGTTCCGCTCTCGGCGGGCCCCACCTGTCACTGTCAGGCAGCTTTCAGCAGTGAGTAATGAACTTGGCGGCTGATAGTGACAGCTCAGAAAATGAAGTCGCTGAACACGAACGCACACAACATGCAGCCCATGTGCACCTGTCAGGGAGGAGAGCTCTAATCATCTCTCCATTATATTTGGGACTTAATTACACTGATGGTGATAGGAAAACTTTGAAAGGCTCTCAGAGCTGTAGCGTCGCCAAGCTGTACCTGGATCTGCTGCGGTTGACTCTCCAGTTGGGTGATGGTCGGGCGGTCTGACAGTTGTGCAGTAATTGCTGGAATTGAATTGGATTGATTTGCATGGAGGAGAGCGGAGGACATGGCCAGCCAATCAGATTCAGGCTGTTGCTGTTTCCTTTTTGTCTATTTTGGAATGCTGGGGCTTGTAGTCCCCGTGGTGGAGGGTTGTCGCAGCCTGATTAGTAGAGCAATGTACAGAACATTATATGTTAGGATGGCGTGTAATGGGGCTGCCTAGAATGATCATTTTTTTTTTCCCCAGTAATTTTCTCTTACAATCTGATGAGATAAGCAGTCAGGGGTAATTGCCTCGGGCATCTGTCCCCAGCCGTGTGTCCGTCCGCCTATCTATTTTACTGTAATAAATGTCACAGGCGGAGCCGGCTTTATGTTTCCTGCTCATTAAACCTGCGCTGCTTACATTAGCATATTATCGGAGACAGATGTGCGGGAATGCTTAATGACTGAATCAGCCGCCGAACACAATCTGTTGACAGCCACGTCTATGTTTGCAGCGTGTGAAAGTCTGTGTCTGCACTTTCTGGGTCCCCCCCTTCCCCCCGGCATAATGTCCTGTTGCTGTCACTGAGTCTCCTCTCTTCTTCTATTATCAGGAATTTGACCCAGAAGAATTCTATCACCTTTTGGAAGCTGCTGAAGGTCATGCCAAGGAAGGAGAGGGCATCAAATCGGACATTCCCCGCTACATCATCAGTCAGCTGGGGCTCAATAGGGATCCCTTGGAGGGTGAGAGTTGTACTATACATCTGTAGCAGCTTCTGTCATGACCACTCGTACTTCACTCTGCTGACAGTGTTCTTATGTTGGTCCTCACCTGCCATAGACGTGTCCTTTTCCACCCCCTCTGTAGAATCTTCTGTGTTCTCAGCCACCAGTGACCTGTCCTTGCCCTCACCTGTCCTAGACCCGTCCTTGTCCAGTGCAGACGCATCCTTATTCTCAGCCACCAGTGGCCTGTAATGGCCTTGCCCTCACCCTCCTTAGACTGGTCCTTGTCCTCACCCACCATAGTACCATTCTTCTCACCCACTATAAATTATAGACCCATCTTTGTCTTGACCTGTCGTAGACCTGTCCCCGTCTTCCTCCACATAGTTTCCATCCTGATCTTTACCCACCATAGACCTGTCATTGTGTTTGCTCACCTTAGTCCCATCTTGTCCTCAGCCACCATAGTCCCATCTTGTTCTCAGCTACTATAGATCATTGACTGGCCCGTGTCCTCACCCGGCATTGACTGGCCCGTGTCCTCACCCATCGTTGACTGGCCCGTGTCCTCACCCGGTGTGGACTGGCCAACTGTCAACACTTTGTCCTGTCCCTGTCTTCACCCACATAGTTTCCGCCCGTATCTTAACCCACCATAGACCTGTCATTGCCTTTGCCCACCTTAGACCCCTCTTGTCCTCACCCATCATAGTCCCATCATTCTCACCCATTATAGAACCTAGACTGGCCCTTGTCCTCACCCCCATCATAGACTGGCCCTTGTCCTCACCCCACCATAGACTGGCCCTTGTCTTCACCCCACCATAGACTGGCCCTTGTCTTCACCCCACCATAGACTGGCCCTTGTCTTCACCCCACCATAGACTGGCCCTTGTCTTCACCCCACCATAGACTGGCCCTTGTCTTCACCCCACCATAGACTGGCCCTTGTCTTGTAGACTGGCCCTTGTCTTCACCCCACCATAGACTGGCCCTTGTCTTCACCCCACCATAGACTGGCCCTTGTCTTCACCCCACCATAGACTGGCCCTTGTCTTCACCCCACCATAGACTGGCCCTTGTCTTCACCCCCACCATAGACTGGCCCTTGTCTTCACCCCACCATAGACTGGCCCTTGTCTTCACCCCACCATAGACTGGCCCTTGTCTTCACCCCACCATAGACTGGCCCTTGTCTTCACCCCACCATAGACTGGCCCTTGTCTTCACCCCACCATAGACTGGCCCTTGTCTTCACCCCACCATAGACTGGCCCTTGTCTTCACCCCACCATAGACTGGCCCTTGTCTTCACCCCACCATAGACTGGCCCTTGTCTTCACCCCACCATAGACTGGCCCTTGTCTTCACCCCACCATAGACTGGCCCTTGTCTTCACCCCACCATAGACTGGCCCTTGTCTTCACCCCACCATAGACTGGCCCTTGTCTTCACCCCACCATAGACTGGCCCTTGTCTTCACCCCACCATAGACTGGCCTTGTCTTCACCCCACCATAGACTGGCCCTTGTCTTCACCCCACCATAGACTGGCCCTTGTCTTCACCCCACCATAGACTGGCCCTTGTCTTCACCCCACCATAGACTGGCCCTTGTCCTCACCCCACACCATAGACTGGCCCTTGTCTTCACCCCACCATAGACTGGCCCTTGTCCTCACCCCACCATAGACTGGCCCTTGTCCTCACCCCACCATAGACTGGCCCTTGTCCTCACCCCACCATAGACTGGCCCTTGTCCTCACCCATCAATATTTTTCTACCATAGGCCCATCCCTGCCCTCACCCACTATAAAACATGTAAGACCTGTCCTTGTCGTCACTCACCCTATTTCCATCCATGTCTTATGTTAAAAGATAAAGAAGAGCTCTCCTGTCTCTGTGCAGTTTCTGCTCTGTAGATATCAGTAGTGACTAAGGTTCATTCTTTGTATTTGTAGAAATGGCCCAGCTGAACAGCTATGACAGTAGCAACGCTGACACTCCGGAGACTGACGACTCAGTAGAGGTAAATGTACCCAGCACAAGGCAGCACTAGAAACTCGAAGGTAGAGCACAGCTGGGCATGTGATGGAAGATTCAGTTTGTGTCTTATGAGACAATGTCTGTTCCCTCCACCTTTATTACAGTAAGAGCTAAAATGTTCTTGGTACCCAATGATGCCAGCCTACTTCTGGCTGTCTTTTTTTCAAGTACAGGTCAAAAAACAATTAATGGTTAAAAAGACAGTATGGTTGCCATTAGGATACACAGAGTTCCCTGGATTGTGCAAAATAAAAAATTCTAAATCGGCTTAATTTCACTTACAAATTCAATGTATAGGGCAGACTTATCAGAAGGAGGACTCAGTCATCCAGAGGAGGACCCCGAGCTGCTGACATAGGAGAGGAGAGAAAGTCCAAGAATGGAGGTGGAACCCGCAGGGCCGACAGGGATTAGCTCCAGTTATTTCAGGATTAACAGGTGCAACACTAACATGGCAGCCACTCTGGAGAATAGGCCAGACCCCAAAATACATGGGTGGTGGAGCATTTCATGTGGGCTGCACGTCTTCTCCCAGTGGAATGGTGGGCTCTGAGTTCTGCTTTAGTGAGCTGCTCCACTTTGTACGCTCCTCTCCTATAGTGGTAGTTGAGGGTTCAGCCACAACATCTGTGCGCAGAATGCAAGCTCTTCTGATTACGTGAATCTGGTAATGACAGGAAAGGTATTGGGCGCACTAAGAGATACAGGTCTAGATGTGTAACGATAAAATATTAACACATCAAAAAGCCCATAAATAGTCCAAAGACGATCCAAAATTAATCCATAGGTGACTTGGCTTCAAAATAGCTGGCAGGGACTCTATGGGAAACACAAGGAAGAAAGAGGCAGCACCAAACACAAGGAAGAAAGAAGCAGCACCAAACACAAGGAAGAAAGAGGCAGCACCAAACACAAGGAAGAAAGAGGCAGCACCAAACACAAAAGAAGAAAGAGGCAGCACCAAACACAAGGAAGAAAGAGGCAGCACCAAACACAAGGAAGAAAGAGGCAGCACCAAACACAAGGAAGAAAGAGGCAGCACCAAACACAAGGAAGAAAGAGGCAGCACCAAACACAAGGAAGAAAGAGGCAGCACCAAACACAAGGAAGAAAACACAAGGAAGAAAGAGGCAGACCAAACACAAGGAAGAAAGAGGCAGCACCAAACACAAGGAAGAAAGAGGCAGCACCAAACACAAGGAAGAAAGAGGCAGCACCAAACACAAGGAAGAAAGAGGCAGCACCAAACACAAGGAAGAAAGAGGCAGCACCAAACACAAGGAAGAAAGAGGCAGCACCAAACACAAGGAAGAAAGAGGCAGCAAACCAAAAGAAAGAGGCAGCAAAACACAAGGAAGAAAGAAGAGGAAGAAAGAGCACCAAACACAAGGAAGAACGAGGCAGCACCAAACACAAGGAAGAACGAGAGGCAGCACCAAACACAAGGAAGAAAGAGGCAGCACCAAACACAAGGAAGAAAGAGGCAGCACCAAACACAAGGAAGAAAGAGCAGCACCAAACACAAGGAAGAAAGAGGCAGCACCAAACACAAGGAAGAAAGAGGCAGCACCAAACACAAGGAAGAAAGAGGCAGCACCAAACACAAGGAAGAAAGAGGCAGCACCAAACACAAGGAAGAACGAGGCAGCACCAAACACAAGGAAGAACGAGGCAGCACCAAACACAAGGAAGAACGAGGCAGCACCAAACACAAGGAAGAACGAGGCAGCACCAAACACAAGGAAGAACGAGGCAGCACCAAACCCAAGGAAGAACGAGGCAGCACCAAACCCAAGGAAGGAAGCAAAACCCAAGGAAGAACGAGGCAGCACCAAACCCAAAAGAACACAAGGAAGAACGAGGCAGCACCAAACACAAGGAAGAACGAGGCAGCACCAAACACAAGGAAGAACGAGGCAGCACCAAACACAAGGAAGAACGAGGCAGCACCAAACACAAGGAAGAACGAGGCAGCACCAAACACAAGGAAGAACGAGGCAGCACCACCAAACCCAAGGAAGAACGAGGCAGCACCAAACCCAAGGAAGAACGAGGCAGCACCATCTAAGTGTAGCATTAAAAACAAAATATTTATTGTCATGAGATTGGCAACTCCAAACCGTACAGCGGGACCGGAGCCACACAGCGGTGTCATCTGTCTGACAAGTGCTCATTCTGCTACTTTGATGAGTTTCCAATCTTGTGACGATAATTCATTTGATTTTAATGCTACACTTAGATGGCGCTGCCTCTTTCTTCCTTGTAATCTGGTAAGCCCACTCTGTACATTGAAATGGTAAGTGCAATGGAAATATTTTAGATGTTTCTTAAAGCTCAACACCGGGAGAAAAAAAAAAAGCTTTCTGATGCAGTGGGATTGTCCCTGCACTGCACAGGTGAACTCCTTTTTGTCTAGGTCAGGGGTAGATAACCTGCGGCTCTCCAGCTGTTGCAGGACTACACATTCCATCATGCTTCTGCAAGTCATTGCTGTAACTGTCAATTTTGCAATGTCTC